ATCTGGTGTCACAATAGCTTGGATTTAAAAAAACCAAAAACTTTTTTCACTGTTATAGATTGAATAGCAGTTAGTTATCTTCAAGCGGGTGTCAGGCCTACAGCCTGTGCTCTGCACAACTGTGCCAGTGCACATTGCCGCTCACATCTGGTCTCACAGTAGCTTGCACGCATAGTACCACTAATCCCAACAAAAATGACAGGCAGAGGCAGGCCACCCCGCAGGGGCCATCGTGGTCGTGGTGCTGTGATTCCTTTGGCCCTAGAATAATGCCCAGTTTTCAGAGGCCACGTACCCTGAACTTGAAAAGTTCTGAGGACATAGTTGACTGGCTAACACAGGACACCCAATCTTCTACAGCCTCCGCTCAGAACCTTGACGCACCATCCTCCTCCAGCTTAGCTTCAGGCACCTCTCAAGATACCACTCACCAGCCTGCCGCCACCACCAAAACTAGCACCACAGCCGCTTCGGTTGGTATGTCAGAGGAGTTATTCACACATCCGTTTGAAGAAATGAGTGATGCGCAACCATTATTGCCAGAGGATGTAGATAACAGGGATATGTCTCAGGCAGGCAGCACATGGACGTACGGTGTGATGATGATGATGATGTTGTACCCGCTGCTGCTTCCTTTGCTGAGTTGTCAGATACAAGTGAAGCGGTTGATGATGACGACGCGCCCATGATGTACCGCGGGTGCCCGGCCGTCAAGAAGAAGAACAGGGCTAAAGTTCAGATGGGGAGACAGGAGGAGGAGGGAGACGAAGTTGGAAGCAGGGGGAGGTCGCCGCGAAGGAGCTAGTGGCACAGTCAGACAGCATGCATCGACACCAGGGGTCAGCCCGACAGCACGCCAATCAACGCATGCTGTGTCCACCACCAGAATGCCGTCATTGCAGAGCTCAGCAGTGTGAATTTTTTTTGTGTGTCTGCCTCTGACAACAGCGATGCCATTTGCAACCTGTGCCAAAAGAAACTGAGTCGTGGGAAGTCCAACACCCACCTAGGTACAACTGCTTTGCGTAGGCACATGATCTCACATCACAAGCGCCTATGGGATCAACACATGAGTACAAGCAGCTCGCCTACTCTAAGCCGCCAGCCTCCTCCTGGTCCAGCATCTTCAGCCACGTCAACCACTGCTGTCCTCTTTGTCCCCTCTCAACCATCTGCCACTCCGCCTCCCGCCTTGAGCAGTTCACGCTCATCTTCCCACAGTCATGTGTCTGTCAAGGACATGTTTGAGCGTCAGAAGACAATGTCAGAAAGTCACCCCCTTGCCCAGCGTCTGACTGCTGGCTTGTCCGAACTATTAGCCCGCCAGCTTTTACCATACAAGCTGGTGGA